AAGTCAATAAAAAGTGGACAGTGATTGGGATGCACAAAAATAACAACCAATCAAAATGGCGATTGTTAATTACGTATCAGTCAATTCCAGCAGTGCCCATCCCCCCCGAGGTATTAGCCATTTCTGGGAAGAAAATGGCTATGTCCACAAGCCATTTGCAATCAAATTAAATATCAGTTTTCCAGCAAATCTACCAAATCCCCCATGATGGAAAATGTCAAAATCCTCACCCCAGGGCTAAAAAATATCGGCAATAGCCCCACCCCCGTGATTAGGAAAAGCTGCAAAGGCCCAGGGGTGGGAACTGCTGGAATTAATTGATACATTAGATTATCAAAGCTAATTTAAAATATGACAATAACGGCCAACTTTTCCACCAATATCTCAAAACTAAATATTCCAATTTTCATCGAATGGCCAGGAATTACATATTAAATAATAATAATAATAACTGTTATTGACTGCAGCAAAGGCAGTCATTAACATGGCCAAAAGTAGTTAAAGTACAATTACGGAATATCATTACGTAAACAACAATTTGGCATTACCTTAAAAACAAAGCTATTTATTTCTGACCAATGGGAATTTTGCGTACGAATCATGTGCATCAATCCTTTTTACTGACCTCAGTAGCAGGCTTTATTTCAAGCATAGAGCCTGACACGCTAGTTACTTTTAATAACCCATTGAGTTGCATTGCCCCCCTCCCCCCCCCCACTTAATTTCAATACATTGTTTTCACCATTGTGTTTATACAACCTTGCAAATTTACTAGTAGGAATTTCCATTGTGTTTGCAGCCCTTACACTTTGTGTTTCATTATGGCATCTTGACCTTGAAAGAGTCTATTACTGTGGCTCCAACATTTTCCCGTTCGGCGTTAGAAACACAATACATTGATCATAAAATGACTGAAATATTACAGATTTAAAAGCCTGACACCTAGCGGCAAAGTTTAAATTTCACACAAGTAGTGATGAATGATGATCACTGTGGTTGTATTTCGGTCTTGTTAGGCTACACCATGTTCTTCTGACCCCCTATCCGTAACAGGATTATTTGCATCAACAGCCGTAAAAAAGCACCCAAATAAACAGCAGTTTGCGAATATTATTGTTGCGATTTACAAAGGTTGCGGCCCGTTCCAACTTTGTAAAATTGAAAATTGTGAACTTTTGTCCTCTATTTCAAGCTTGTAGCCTTCCAAGTTTACTCACATAAAATGACTTTCGCTTTATAAAGTCTGTTTTATCGGAAAACTTTTAAGGTTCATCGGAAAAATAAAAAAAATATGTACAAAATCGATTATACCATTCGCTCGTAGTAAGCGGCCATCTTGAATTCAGCGACGAATAGTAATGACGTAATTTTTATTTTTTATTAATGACGTAATTGTCATTTTGTGGCTAACGATCCAAGATCCGACACAAATGCGTGCCGAAACCTAGAGTCGCTGCGGGCTCTGCCCAGCGACTAAAAAAGTATAGTGTGAAGTAAGATTATATAAGAACCACTTCAGCCTGAAGTCAAAATTCACTGGTTCTTTTATGCAGGACTTTAATTTACTGCATATCATATTCCCATAATAACAATATTAATACTAGTAATAATCATTTTACTGTATATATATATATATATATATATATATATATATATATATATATATATATATATATATATATATATATATATATACAGGGTGTATCAAAAAAACTGAACAGATTTGAAATTGCTCTCAATTTGGCAAAACAGCTATTTGTAGCTGGTTTTTTATATATATAGCTTCTTTGGGTACTTATAATGTAAAATAATGAAAAAAATTTCTCGAACTCAAATTTTGTGAACCAGGGGGGTGTGTCGTTTCCAACAAACTATATATATATATATATATATATATATATATATATATATATATATATATATATATATATATATATATATATATATATATAGATATAGAGATATAGATAGATAGATAGATAGATAGATAGATAGATAGATAGAGATAGATAGATAGATAGATAACAAAAACAACAAATTACAATATTAAAATTTTATTTCATCGCTACAGGTGGGAAATTTGTCTGAGCATGCGCGAGCAAATTGAAAAACACAATTGCGTGGAATACACGCAACGCGTGTTTACAAAAAGGCACAATCGTGTAAATATTGCCAAATGTTTGTACAAAATAAATGACTGTTTTATGCTGAAAATGGACATGATCTAAATTAATCATACAGAATTTTTTAGTGACGTTCTATTTCAGTACCCTGCCATTGTTTCTGGTGGGCTGTCCGTGTGCATTCGATCTGAAACAGTTGCTACTTTGCTGTCGAAGAATTTCGAATGTTTACATGAAAATAGAGGCAAGTCATGCATTTTACAACTTCTTAAACTGTATGAGCCCCTATTTTTACGCTTATACCTAAGATATCAAATAAAAGTACATGAAACAGAGAACATTTGTAGAAAGTTTTATCGTGAGGCCACGGCCAGTTTTTAAAATATCTTTATTTCTGTTCCGGTCATCACTAAAATTACACAAAAGCCGGGCTTGAATATACAACAAATTTTGAATCTCATCAAGCACAAAAATACTTAACGTGCAACCAAAATATGCTCATGAAATCGAAATTAATAGCTAAATTTTCAAACTAGACCCTTCTCGAAGCGGTTTTCATGAAGGAAGTTCACATTTCGGCCTTTGATTCTTGGCAAAAATTTGACCACAACACGTGCGAAACAACTGGGTCTCAAAGACTGAACTAAAACATTGTGAGCCCCTATTTTCCTGACGATATGTTTGATACCTACAAACGCCGAAAAGTTTTTTCTTTTCATTTAGCTATATTTGAAATTGAGGCCACAGGCTATTTTTGAGAAAATACAGTTCAAAGTCAAGCTATTTTTACATATTTTCAAAATTTGTCAAATTTCGCGAACTTGTATTTTGAACTTAGACAGCTGAAGTTACATTAAGAAACATAGGATGGAAAATTTGAGGCATATAAAGTTAATTTCAACTTACATTTCATTCTCAAATCACGTCTTTCTTCGTTTATTACGGTTTTAAACAAGCCATAAATCGACGTATACGGTATTTACTCCCATGTTCACGTCGCCATATTAACTTCTTCCAATCACGCGATTACAAAACAATCATCCCAAAACAAAGAATTCATGATCGACTTTTAAAAGAATAACCAATAATTTGTAAATCGTTGAATGGAAAGCAAAAAGTCGTCAGCTAAAACAGCTTCTTGCTAACTTTCTGCTTTGTTTT